TATTTCGACTGTAGTATCTACAAGCTGCGAAAGAATTGACCTCATTTTACGTTTTGTTATATATATTTTGTAGCCTGTATAAAATTATGCACATCTATATAATGTAATCACCCGACGCCTTTTTAATTGGAATAAAAATATATTAGAAATCTGTTTATCTTAAAATACTGTTAAAAACTATCAAACAATTTGCAGTACATTTAGCAGCTATATCTTATATATTTGCCAAACATCTTTAAAAAATTGCGGATTACCTGTCTGTAATTTCTGCGATCCAATGCCATACGATGGTTCCAAAAATGTTTAAAAAAATGAGGTAGAATTTCGTCTTTTATATACTGTGCCTCCACACCATCTGTTCCGCAACATTGCTTGACTACCTATATATAAGAAAATCGCAACTTTTAGTACACAGAAATGAAATTTCCATGTAAAAAAATGAAAAAAACCTATTATATCATATAAATTAACTAAATTAAATGTATAATCACATAATTAACAAATCATGCAGGTGTCCTATGCATACATATAATACACAATCATTTTAATACCTTTAACACAATCTTTTTCATTTCCTCGTCGGGTGACTGGAATTCACGTATAAGGATAAGCATTACTTCCCTAGTATAATAATTCGCATATTCCGCGTCCATGAGAGGGATGAGATAACCGATAGCTTTTAGGAACGCTGCTAAACCTTTACCTCTATGCGTGCGGATACCTTTCCACAGAGGTTTCAGTACCGAGTCGAAACTTTCGATACCATACGGTGTTGCGGCTTCAGCCAATGCGGCGATGGCTAACGCAGTAATTGTTCGTACTTTCTGTTGTTCATCCACCAAACCTGTCATTTTTCGTTTCATAATTATCAGAAAGGAAATAAGGCTTTGTGAGTACGACAAACACATGCAGATTACAACAAATTTAATTTTAATCAGACTAGCTATATAATTTATCTATTTACCATGTTCAATAATCTCTACTAAGCTTTTCAAATGTGGCAGAATTGCACAACCCATGAGAATAGCTATTTGTTGCACGATCTTGATACCAGTGTGTCTCGCTTGCCAGGATTTCTTGCTGCGACAAACGGCCTTTAAGAAGGGAAGTAACGAAGGGATCCCAAGAGCGGACGCGACAACAGCAAATGCTCTGGCTGTTGTGTTGCGTACGTATTCATCGATATTATCAATGTCAGGCCTCATTGTGGAAATCATTGTCGCCAATCCTGCAGCCTTGGCTAAGTTGGAAATTATTTCTCTGCCTTCGACACGGGCATAGTAGTCTT